GCTAGAACACCTCCCGTACTTCCCAATCGCCTGATGGCCCACGAGTTCAAGTCTCACTCAAACATCACCATCCCTAGCACCTGGTACATATTTTGCTGACTGACTAAATACATTAATTATGTCTTCTCTAATCTCAAATACAAACAGCATTCGTTTCTGGAGAAGATCTTCAGTGGGGCTGGCGGAGTGGCTCAAGTGGTAGAGATCCTGCCTGGGAAGCATGAAGCTCTGAGTTCAAACCCAAGTACTGCCAAAAAACTAATTGAAAAAAAAAAAGAGTAAAAAAGAAAAAAGAAAAGATCTTCAGTAAAAATAAAACAATTATCTCTGGTTTAATCTAATGGGCCTCATATTCTGAGCTACCATTACCATCGGTTTCTGCTGCTCTTCCTCTATTTCTAGAATTTGACTGGCTCCTCCAAGCTGAAGGTTAGCAGAGACTAGATGAACCCTGCTTTGCTTTCCTTCCTCATGTTCATTTACCCCTTTAAAAGATGTATTTCTAGCATGAAGCATGTTGTATGTCAGAAACCTAATTTCAATCAGCACAATAATGAAGTACCCTATACTTTAATCATTACAAAAAAAATAACCTAATGTTAACCTATCAGTTATTTTTTCAGTTGTTCTATCTCCTTATACCTGCCTTATAAGGGAAGTAACTTTAGAATGAGCAATGGGGTACTTTGTTCTTTTTTTCTGTTTTCTTTTGCTCTTTTCTGTCCATAAAACTGATCTCCTCTACCCAATCCATCTGAAATTCTATTTTATGGAAAGAAGTATTGCCTGACTGTAGAATTACAAATGAAGATTTTATTTATTTTAGTGTTTCAGTGATAAAGCACTTGTCTAGCATGTGAGACCCTGAGTTTCATCCCCAGAACTGTCAAAAAAATCTTTAAATAGTTGTAATATTGCTTTTAATAGCATTAACTCCTAGGGCTGGTGGAATAGTTCAGGTGGTAGAGCGCTTGCCTAGCAAGCATGAGATCTGGAGTTCAAACCCTAATACCACTAAAAACAAAACAAAACAAAAAAACTAATAGTATTAACTCCTAAAATAGTGGATATTAGTTTGAGGTGTTTTCACAAAGTCTATTCTTTCTTCTTACCTTCCTTCCCAAAGTTTATCCTTTCTTCCTTCCTTCCTTCCCAAAGTTTATCCTTTCTTCCTTCTTTCCTTCCCTCCTCCTCCTCCTCTTCTTCTTTTGGCAGTACTGGGGTTTGAATTCAGGGCCTCATGCTTGCCAGGCAGGTGCTCTAACACTTGCGCCAAACCCCTAGCTCCTAAAGTTCATTATTTGTTATCCCTGAAAACATTTCACCTATCAGTATAACAAGACAAAAATTCCTTTTTTATCACACGTAGTTTATCCTCTGGTCAGTAAAAGGGATTTGTTCAAACTAGATTAGGAATCAAACAAGAGAGCATAGAAAGCAGTGATTACTATATGGGCTTTGGAATCAACAAATGCCTCTTACACACTTGCTGTGTGTCTTTGCACAAGTCATTTCAATTTTATAAACTCTGGGCTACCATTTAGTTGAGTAGGGTATGGGTAGCTATTTCAACTAATGACATGTAAGAATTAAATGAAACTGGGTATGGTGACACATGCTTGTAACTCCAGCACTTGGGAGGCTTAGACAGTAGGATCAAGACCTGGTCTGAAAAAAAAAAAAGAAAGAGAAAGAGAAAGAGAGAGAAAAAAAATTTAAATGTGATTAGACAAATGACAAATGACACAGAATCTGAAACACAGCAAGTGCTTAAACAGGACTTACTATTACCATTATTATTGTTATTATTATTATTGTTGTGCATTTATATTTGGAAATGTGACCAGTAGGATTGCCAGAGCATAGGTTGTTCATATTTTTAATTTTTTGAGGAAACTCCTCATGTTTTCCACAATGGCCGTACCAATTTATGTTTCCACCAACAGCATATGAGGATTCTTACTTCTACACACCATTGCCAACACTTGTTATTTTTTGTCTTCTGGATATAGCTGTCCTACAGGTATGAGTTGACATCCTACTGTGGTTTTGACTTGCATTTGCCTGATTGTGTGATATTGAGCACCTTTTTGTGTAAGTATTGGCCATTCACATATTTTTGGAGGAAATGTCTATTCAGGTTCTTTGCCCATTTTTAACCAAGCTATTTGTGGATTGGTTATTTTGTTTTGTTGCTATTGAATTGTGTGAGCACATTTTATTCAATTTTTGTCCTTTCAAATCAATACAAAGTAATTGTTAGCAATGGCCATCCAAATGAAAACCTACTAGTAACCATTTTATCCCAATTGTATTAAATTTATAAGGCATATGTATTTTGTCATCACTGCCAGCATTTTTACTTTTTCATTTCCATTTATTTACATGAAACAACAGTAAAAAGCACAAAAATATCTAATAGTTGTACAAACATATATGTAACAACAAAGTTGGCAAAATTAAATCACCATTTAGCCCAGTGTGATACATCAAAATATTCACTTATTGGCAGAGTTGCCAACCTCCAAAATGTTATATATATGTAATTGTTATGGTTGGGACACAAAGTATCCCCCAAAAAGTTTCATGTGTTAAAGGATTGGTTGCCAGCTAACAGGCTTTGGGGAAGTGACTGGATCATTTGGGCTTTAACCTCATCAAAGGATTAATCCATTCATAAGTTCATAGCTGAATGGGCTATTAGGAGGTTGGGCCAAGTTGGAGGAAGTAAGTCACTGAAGCATGACTTTGAAGGGTACATTTTTCTCTTACTCTCTGCTTCTGACTGCCATGAGTTGAGTAGCTTTCCTACACCATGATGTTCTATCTTGCCCTGATGGGCCCAGAAGCAATAGAGCCAGCTGTCCATAGACTGAAACCTCTGAAACTATGAGCCAAAATAAATCCTTCCTTCCTTAAGTTGTTCACAAAAAGTGACTAACATATAGTAATGTACAAAAATATAGGTAAGTCAAGATCTACCCCTACTGATCTTTTGACAACCTTTTCTAAAGTTAATGACATTTAATAATTTTATGCAACAGTTCACTTGAGGTAATTTTTTTTTTTTGGCAGTACTGGGATCAAACCCAGGGCCTTGTACCTGATAAGCAAACACTTAACCACTGAATTACATCTTCAGCCCAGGTAATTCTTTTTAATAATACTGATGTATGTAAGGGACCAGAAGAGACTTCTGGGAAGAGAATATTAGAAAAAGCAAAAACCTCATGCCCATAGCCATGAAGGATTTTTAATGTGCACAGGCACCACATGACATGTGTAGCCATTTTAATGTAAATTGAAAATGTATATTTCATGTGCCAGTATTTGTAAATGTCTTGTCTGAATTAAGGCTTTTTTTGTTTCCTTCTTAGGAATTTAGAAATGTTTTTATAGTCAAGCGATGTGCCAACCTGTGATTCCAGCTACTTGGAAGGCAGAGGCATTAGGATTACAAATTTGAGGCCAGCTATAAACAAACAAACAAAAGGACTGGGGGCTTAGCTCAAATGGCAGAAGAAAGAAAGGAAGGAAGGAGGGATGGAGGGAGGAAGGAAGGAAGGAAGGAAGGAAGGAAAAGATTTTTCTTCCAGGTCTTGCCAGCTTGTGGGTATAAATAAGATCACATTAATAGTCATCACCCAAATTGTGCTGGCTCCAGCCCACATGCTAGTCTGTGGGTAGTTGGATGGACAAATGATCAGGAAGACTGGGTTACCTATAAATTTGCTGACTTATTGAAAGATTATAATGAAGACTAAAGAGTGGTAGAAAATGAGTGATGGCAGAAACATGGGCACTGCCACATAAGGAGGTAAGTGACATCCCAGCTGACAAAATTTTGTACCAGTGTAGAAAGATAATTTTTTTGCAGCTCATCTATTTGTGACACCCAGATCCAGATGGTTCACAACCCAAACTTTACCATAGGTCCAGGCAACCAATCAAAACAAGGCACTACAAACTCTTCTCCTTGTATACCATTTCCTCTCCCCACTCATCCAATTTGCCCCAACAATACCAAGTTATATAATAAAGAATTTAAGAAAGAAAAAAACATGCCAAGCCAGGCATGGGGTTACCTATAATCCTAGCACTTAAGGTGCTGAAACAGGAGGATCGTGAGTTAAAACCAGCCCAGGCTGACCATATCTCAACAAACAAAAACAAGTTATACACCCAAACTGGAAGCAACACAAATTTTAAACCAACCCAGAAACAACTTACAAGAGCTTGGTGCCTATTGCTGGTTAGTAGACTTCACAAACACAGGCACAAAGGCTAACATCTCAACAGCAAGCACTTCTGACCTGGGGGAAGTAGGAAGAATCTCGTATATGCTCATTACTGCCACTGCTCTACAAAGTCTCATGACCACTGGTAGCACACATGCTACCCTCATAAGAAGCAGCAGTCCCCACTTAAGACTAGTATCTACAAACTATCAAAGCTTAAAGTTGCCAATATGGGAAGCAAAAAACCCTTGAATAACTGTTGGGTATAAGAGCCATTCCCACCTGCCTACATTGCTTCCCAGACCCATACATGCTAGCTATAGGAAAGAAAGCACCATATAATTATCTCTGAATCAGAGCTTATACTGCATCTTGTGAAACAGAATCTTGTCATTTCAGGCTGTTGTCTCCCAATTGCCACCCAAACTGAGTCTTTCATAGTTATTCCACCTTTTAATCAGACCAGCTACTTGCAAGTGATAATACATGCAGTAAAAGCAGTTAATTCCTTAGACTTAAGTCCACTGTTTAATAGATTCCAGAAGTGGACAAAACATTCTGAAAGAGTTCATAGATGGTGGAGATGGCAGAAGCATTACAGACTGAGATGGCAAGTCAATATTTATAACATGTGTCTATTCCTTTTTACCAGAAGTTTCTATTGGGGTCCTCAATTCTTGAGTTCCTGTCAGACATTTCAAGCAAGACATGAAACATAATGAAAGTAATATCAAAGTTTATTAAGAATAGTAAAGTTAAGCTGGCAGAATGGCTCAGTGGTAGAGTGTCTGCCTAGCAAGCATGAGGCCTGAGTTCAAATCACAGTACTGCCAAAAAAAAAAAAGGATTACTACTATACACATCAGTAAGTGACTCAAGGCATGAAAAGGGAAGCTGTATGGTACAGAAAGCATAGTAGAGTTTACTCAGAGAAGGAAGAATATGCTCCATAGAGGAAAACAGGCTGTCTCAGAGAAGAGATCCATGATGTACCCTATCTTTACTGGTGTTTAAGGGAAAGTTTTTAGAGAGTCTTTTTATAAATTCATTAAGACAGTATTTTTTTATCAGTTATATCTCATCATAAATTCTACCACCTGCTTTTACCTTCTGGTTTTGTCTTTATCTTCCTATTTCCATTTGGAACAAAATCTTTTTCTTTTTTTTGGTACTGGAGTTTGAATTCAGGGCCTTGTACTTGCTAGCCAGGCACTCTACCCCTGAGCCATACCTCTAGCCCTTTTTTCTCTGGTTATTTTTGAGATATGGTCTCAATTTGGGCTGGGCTGGCTTGGATCACAATCTTCCTATTATGTTTCCTGCATTACCTGGGATGACAGATGAATGCCACCATGTCCAATTTTTTTTTCTGTTGTGACAGGGTCTCATGCACTTCTTGCCTATCTCTGACTGGCCTGGAACTGCAATCCTCCTGATCTCAGCCTCCCAAGTAGCTAGGATTAAAGGTATGGGTCACCAGGCTCCCAGCTTCTGGATCAATCTTTTTACTTTAAGACAAAACTTTATCATAAAAATCTTCTTATCCAGGACTGGGGGTATGGTTCAAGTGGTAGAGTGCTTGCTAATGAGCATGAGACCCTAAGTCCAAACCCCAGTACTGCAGCACACACACACACATACATACATGCACACACACAGAGATATATGATAGATATGCTAAAACTTTTTATCCAGAGAATGCTCTCTCACACAACCTTCTTATATTTCCTCATGTCCTACCATACTTTACCAGTTGCATCTCAGGATAAACCCTAATACAAGCCTTCTGATTTTGCCCTTACCTGCGTGTTTCCATTTTAGAAGAACCCTGCGTTATTAGGACAAAACCTTATTGGTATACAAAGTAATTTCTTATCCAGAAATGTTCTCTTCTCTTTTTTTTTTTTTTTTGCAGATTACTTGATTTTATTTATTATTTTTGCTAGTGTTTATTTATTGTTGTGTTGAGTGGAGGTACATTGTGGTATTTACAAAAGTTCTTCAAATATATCAAATATATCATACTTAGATTCACCTCCTCCACCATTCTCCTTTACTCCCCACCCAAAATGTTCTCCTTGTTTATAATCTTTTCTATATCTCCTTATCTCCTACTTGCTGATTCCGTTTTACCTTGTCACCTGTCCACACATAGCTGCAGATATTATGCTACCGGGATTTTTTAAAGGGTACTTTGCACATTTTTTTCTTGAGTCTTACATGAGTCTAAGAGTTACAGAATGTTACATTTCATCTAGGGTTGACTAGATGACAAAACTTCCAAGTGACCTTGAACAGCAAAACTATTTTAATACACACCAAAAGGCAGAAGGGAGGGAAAATATCCAAGTAGCCCAAAATCTTCACGTTAACCCTATAGTTAGAGTTTAGAATACAAAAGACAAATTGATGAGTAATTATTTGGTCTTCCTAGACACAGGAAAGAGGAGGAATAAATCCCCCACTGTTGTGCAAATTTTGCAAGGTAATAGTCCAGAATGAGAGAGTAAAACTAAAAAGGTATTCGCCCCCAGAACAATAAGGAATCAGGTAGGCTTTAGGCTTACAAAAATCAGAGGAAAATAAAATGACTTACACCCGAGTGGAGTCTCCTTGAATTCCCTGGCTTGGCTCACCAAAATATGTCACCAGATTCTCTGAAAGATCAGAGAAAGAATTCAAGGACAAAGAGGGGACTCAAACAGGAGCAGGTTTATTAATGCAAAGCAAAAGTGCACCCTTCAGATAGGAGGCTGGGCAGGCTCAAGAAGGAGCACTATAGACTGGAGGTGTGGCTCAAGCAGTAGAGTGCCTGCTTTGCAAGTGCAAAGCCCTGAGTTCAAACCCAGTTCCCCCACACTCCCCAAAAATGGAGTGCTGCAGCAGAGGTTACAAGACCTCAAGCTTTTATAGGGATCTGTAGACATTGGGGTGATCAGTCCTGGAAAACTAGATTATGTATCATTAACCTCTAGAGACTGGGCTCATCTTGTCATGTGTTTATTGTCCATTTTGTACATCTTTTTCTGGAGAAAACTCTTTGCCCATTAAAAAATGAAGTTTCTAGCCAGGTGCTGGTGGCTCACACCTGTGATCCTAGCTACTCAACTCAGCAGGCAGGGATCAGGAGGATTGTGGTTCAAAACCAGCCCAGGCAAATAGTTCCTCAAGACCCTATCTCAAAAACACCCTTCACAAAAAAGGGCTGGAAGAGTGTCTCAAGGTGTAGGCCCTAAGTTCAAGGTCCAGTACTGCAAAAAATAAATAAATAAAATTAAGTTTCTTTCTGTTGTCGAGTTGTAAGCATTCTTTATTCTGGATACTAGACCCTTATTTGATATACATATACATACACACATATATAATTTGCAAATATTTTTTCCAACTCTGAGAGTTGTCTTTTCACTTTCATGATAGTGTCTTTTAAACCACAAAATGCTTTTATTTTGATGAAGTTCAATTTATCTATCTTTTTTTCTTTTGTTGCTTGGGCTTCTAGTGTCATATCCACGAAAAAATTATGCAATCCAAAATCAAGAAGATTTTTACCTATGTTTTCTTCTAAAAGGTTTATAGTTGTAAACTTAATTCTTTGGTTCATTTTGGATTTTTTTTATAAAGTTAGTGTTGATGCTCAAATTACTTCACATGTACATATTCAATTGAGCCAGACGCAGGTGGCTCATGGCTGTAATCCTACTCCAAGAGGCAGAGATCAGGAGGATGACAGTGCTAAAGCCAGCCCAGCAAATAGTTCATGAGGACTCTATCTCAAAAAACCCTTTCACAAAAATAGAGCTGGTGGAGTGGCTCAAGGTGAAGGCCCTGAGTTCAAATCCTAGTACCGCAAAAAAAAAAAAGTAAATATCCAGTTGTCCCACATCGTTTACTGAAAAGACTATCCTTTCCCATAGGTCTTTACATCCTTGTCAAAAAAAATCAACTGACTATAGACATATGGGCTTTTTTCTGTACTCCATTGATCTATATATCTACTCTTATGCCAGCAGTCTTTATTTTCTTACACCTTTTTTTTGGTTTTGGTGGTACTGGGGATTGGACCCTCTTACATCATTTTACAAATGAAAACAGAGGTACAAAGAAGCTAACAAACATGTCCTAGTCTGTTATGGTGGTGCATGCTATGCCAGAACTTAGGAAGCTGAGTCAGGAGGATCCAGACTTTGAGGTCAACTTGGGCTACATAGCGTTAGAAATGAAAGAAGGTTCAGAATGGAGATGGCTCATACACCAGCACAGGATTTATTTGGAGAAGTGGTCCTGTGGAGTCCCCAGCAAGAGAGCTGGAGCCCTCAGTGCTTACAGACTGGGGTATTTATGAGTGTGGTAGAGAAGCCTCAGGATGATCACTGGGTGGGATAATCCTCAATGGCACTCTGATCATGCGATAGGGGTGGGTAATTCCTTCTAGGCCAGGCAGGGTGGGAGTTTCTAGTAAATGGCTAAGGTGGATGTCTATTTTTCTTAGGGCTGGGTGGAGAGTTTTCATAAGTCACCTTCAAGTGGGTGAGCACCTACCTAGCAAGCATGAAACCCTGAATTCAAACCCCCAAAACTAAAAAGAAACAGGTTCTGTTTGGATGTGGGTACCAACAGGAGGGGAAAGAGCAAAAGGAGAGATGAAGGGGAGTGTGAATATGGTTGACATATTTTATACACATGTGATGAAAGTAGAAACAATGAAAAACCTATTGAAATTGTCTTTAAAAAGAGGGAGGGGAACTGAAGGAGAGGGAGAGGGGTAAATTTGATTGGGATACATTGTTATATATGTATAAAATATCACAAATCCCTTTTACAAACTAATATATACTAATATAAAAATGTTTCTTTTTTAAAGGAGTAATTGAATTAGGACAACAGCTTGGAACAGGGATGGATAAAAATGGAAAGAAGTGAGCACTTTTTTTTTTTTGCAGTGCTGGGGTTTGAATCAGGACCTATACCTTGAGCCACTCCACAAGCCCTTTTTTGTGATTTTTTTTTTAAAGAAGACTCTTGCAAACTATTTGCCTAAGCTGGCTTTGACCATGATTCTCTTGATCTCTGCCTCCTGAGTAGCTAGGGACTATATCCACAGGCGTGAGCCACACGAGCACCTGCAAGAAGTGACACTTTTGAGCAGCTAGAGGGAAAACTGACAGCATTTGACAAGCGTGGATATTAGCCAGCAGTACACATTTTATTCAGATAAGGACAATGGACAAACAAAAGTTTGTGGGGAAATATATATGTTCAGCCTTAGATATTATTGAATGTAGTAAGACACCAAGTGAGATTATCCAATGGCAGTGATATACGAATATGGAAGGTTGAAAGGAAGTGTTGCCAGAGACCAACATTTGGGAGTTGCATCCGGGCCCATCCTATCCACTAGGCACAGGTTAGTACCCAATACCTTTAGGCTCACAAACTGCTTTAAAATCCTTTAAAGTTAAAAAAAAATCTAACTTTTAAGTCAAAGATGTTTTAATACCTGTAATCATATATATATATTATATAGAGAGAGAGAGAGAGAGAGAAGAGAGAGGAGAGACCACAATAGTCATAATGCTTCCCTGGTTTATCAGTAAGGATGCTTTCTGCTATAAATAACATGGCTCCAGCAGTAACCACATTTAATTTCCCCTGCATGAGGAAGTTCAGCATCAGTTGGCCTCAGGCTGCAGACAGAGCCAGTGCTGTTCAGGGACAGACTCTTCTACTTCACTCTGCCATCCTTGCTGTTGGCTCTATCCTCGGATCTTAGCAAAACAACTGTATCAGCTCCATGGGACCTACAGGTTTAACAACATTCCCAGTTTCTTGATTG